TCCCTTAGTAGTATATGGAGATTTGGCGGGGGCGGGGGGAGGTTTCAGGTTTTGGGTTGGGCAGAGCTTGACAGAGTCCTAGACTGAATCTGCCTTGTGTTGACTGTGTTGCACAGATTTAAATGTGTACGTTATGAGACTGTACTGGAAGTATTTGATCCTATTAGCTGGAACTGGTTATAAGAGCTGTTATTTATTGAGTACTTACAGTATGTTGGGTATTGTATTCAGCATTCAACAGGGATTATCTCATTTGATCTTTAAAACAGTGCTGACAGAAATGTTATCATTAGCTTCCTTTGACTGGTGAGGAAGCTGATGAGCTGGTATGCAAATGTCACCCAACTAGTGGAACTTCGTTTTTTTTCAATGAATATATATGTATATGTATGTATATACATACACACACATACATACATACATACATACATACATACATGTATCTCCCCACTGTCTCCTCACCCCACTTCCTTTCTGAATTACTTTTGAAGCAAATTCAAGGCATAACATTTTATCTGTAAATCTTAAGCATTTATCTCCGAAGATAGGACCCCCTTTTTAAAATAAAACCACAATAAGGTTATTGCAGATTTTTTTAACATTGTTCACTGATTTCAAATACCGCATCAGTTCAGATGCCTCATGTATGTGTTAGTAAATTGGTTTGTTCCATTCAGTATTCACACACACTTAGCACTCGATTGGTATGTCTCAAGTCTCTTAAACTATAACAATTTCTTCCTTTTTTTCTTTTTTCTTTAATAAGCGGTCATTTGTCCTGTAGAATTTCTCACAATCTGGATTTTACTAATTTTATCCCTTAAGTGACTTTTAACATCTTAACTCTGTCCCCTGAATTTCCTGTAAACTGCTAGTTACATCTAGAGATTTGATGAAATGCATGTTTGTTTTAATCAAAAGAAGTGTGTGAGTGATGCTGATTACTTCCTTTTGTGTCGTATCAGGAGGTGTGTTAATCTCTGATTTTCTCTGGTATTAAGAGGGATTCTTGGGTTCAGGAGTTGTTAGCTTGACCCACCGATTATAAAGTATGTCATTAACCTAATGGTTTAGCAGTCATTGGTGATCACTGCCTAAATCCAGTATTTCACTGTGGGTTGCAAAGTGGAATGTTCTGACTGTATCACTCCTTCTTCATGTATTACCTGGAATTTTATAATGAAAAAAATTTCATCCTCAGCTATTCAATAACGCTGAAATATCTTTCATATATAAAAGGTAAGATAAAAGGCAAGTTTTCAAAATAATGAGATGGTTCCCTGGCATCTTACAAAGGTGACTAATTTTTTATATTTAGTATCTTTATGAATCTGTGATATAAAATTTTTCATGTGTTTTAATACATTGCATTAATTATTCTTTTTGATGCTTAAAATTTCCCCCTCACAGGCCAATGGGAGCCTGTCAAGTTGGCTACTTTGTCATGATTGTTGGTAGCCTCCTTGCTTTCCCGCCTCTGACCACCACTGTACATTTCCTGGCCTGGACCTGAATCAGCCATTCCTCTTAGGAACATTGGTTACTTTTAGTAGGAAATTGAATTTAGAAACCACAATCTGGACACTAGGGGTGCAGAGCAGGAACTCTAGCCCCTAGTCTGGATACTGCCTTCATATTCATACTAATCAGAAGCATATCCAATTTCAGTATGTACCCAATAGAATATTATAAATGGTCACTGAAGTACAAATGAGTAGCATTCCAAAAGTTGGTAGGTTGATTGTTTTGAAAGCAGAAAGTATACCAATGGAAACAATGTTACAAAGAATGGTTATTTCCAGGGTTAGGTCCCCACTGAATATGGAAGGGGGTTATATAATGTTAGCAGTGGGATGGTGCCTACGGCCTACAAGTTTGATACCTGACTCCAAAAAATAGTGTATTCTGAATTCAAATCTGGGATAAGTATCAAGAATATATTCTTAAGCATTACTGATCCCTACTCTGGGGATTGGGGGACTCTTCCCTTCCTACCCTGGGTCAACCTAGTCTCAGATGGGAGGTCTGCCCTCACCCACAAGCTCTACCTGCAGTGTGTCCTCGATCACATAGGCTTCAAGTGGGATGGGGCCTCGCTGTGTGTGTACCAGAGATTGGGAGTTCAGGGCATCTCAGAGTAGATGGCACTTCTGTAATGACTGTTCCCTTTTAGATCTGGGGTGACAGAGGCTGGGGAATGACAAGTGAGAGGAGACAAAGAACCTCCTAGAGCAGTAGGGAAAATGCTTAGTTAGGGAAAAAAGGACAATAATAATCAGTTCAAAAATAGGGAACTGGGGCTTCCCTGGTGGCGCAGTGGTTGAGGGTCCGCCTGCGGATGCAGGGGACACGGGTTCGTGCCCCGGTTCGGGAGGATCCTACATGCCGTGGAGCGGCTGGGCCCGTGGGCCATGGCCACTGAGCCTGCGCGTCCGGAGCCTGTGCTCCGCAACGGGAGAGGCTACAACGGGGAGAGGCCCGCGTACCGCAAAAAAAAAAAAAAAAAAAAAAAATAGGGAACTGACTGGTTTGAATTTTGAAGTCACCTCCAGACCATTGTTAATGGACTAAAACAGTAAATATTTCACCCCAGGGCGAAAAAATCATGTAAATGATGTATTCTAATGTAGCAAATGTTTAAAAAGGTCAACATAACACAATTTCTTATTAACATTATCTGCTTTTAGATTTCCTTTGTTGCATTTATAACTGCTACAGAGATGCCACACCTTCATCAACATGAAGATGAGAAGTTCTTCTTAAATGCCAGAGTCCAGAGGGAAGCCTTACCCAGCATACGGGACTTGCCTACCAAGCAGCTTTCTGTGGTCGTGCCTTCATACAATGAAGAAAAACGGTGTAAGCCCTACTCAATTTTTTTGGTAAGGGGTAATTTGGGAAGAAAAGGAAATTTAAAGTATGGACTTTGCCAGAACGTTGATACCTGTGGGCTATGGAGAGTGCACAGTTGGTAGTTGTAGTGCAGAAGAGAAAGAATGAGTGTTAGCAGCCACATCAAGTCTAGGACTGAAGTATTCTAGAGGAGTGATGAGCAAGAGGTGAACAGAAGACAGACATTCCAGGTGGAAATGGCCACTGGGGGGCAGTCCAGGAGGGACTTGTTAGGTTATTCAGGCATTTTCCATATGCAAACTGTGTTCTGGGACTGGGCAAGTTATTTTCAAAAGCAATTTTTAATATATATTTTTTTCTTTAAGTGCCTGTAATGATGGATGAAGCTCTGGGCTATCTAGAGGAGAGACAGGTATTGTGTTTTCTCGTCCAGTATGGGGTCTAATTAAAACTAGAGCAGGTCATCAAGCTGTGGACCCCAGGCTAGATCCACTGTGAGAGGCAGTGCCGGCCGTTCTCGGGCCATCCTGGTCCTGGCCTCTGTGCTCAGCATGTTGCCAGCCGTCAGCCATTTGCAGGCAAGCCCGACAGCACACTCCCTCCAGAGCAAACAGGAAAGCTGATGTTCCTCTTACGGACTTTCCCTCCCCCCTTTGATCCTGTCTTGCCTGATGATATACTTAAAATTGAGTGATAGTGTATCTGCAGACTTTGTATGACAGCACAATGCTGTTTTTGCTTTTGTGACTTTTTAAGTAAGACGTTTATTTGAAAAAGACCTATAACTAGAGTGAAATCATTTTGTATGTCTTTATTATTCTGAAGAGTCCCCCCTCATTTATTTTCCTCTGCTTTCTCTGCATAAAGAGAAGAAAAGTAGCATGTGCCCCTCTTGTATCTGCTGCCATTGGAATCTCTTGGGAGAGTTTAAGAAAATAAGTAAGATTTATGGCTGTTTCTTTTTTTTAGAAAACTCCTTGTTTTGATTTACTTTGTTTTAGGTTTTTTTGTGTAAAGGGAAAAGAGAAGATCCATCGAAAGAGGAAAAAAAAGAGGAAGAGGACTGAGCCCTTATTATATTTGAGCTTCTAGCCTCTTTTATTATGTGTAATCTGCACACCAGCCACGTGGACTAGGTTGTGTTATTTTTTTTGCGAGAAAATAGGCCCAAAATGCTAACTTGCCCGAGGTCTTAAAGCTAAGAAGTGGCACAGCCACGTGGAACCTGCACCCCTGACTTCAGCCCTCATGGCTTTGCCTTGTATACCTCGTAGCCTCTGAGTGGTGCTCATGAGGGCAGCCAGGGGAGCACGGGAGGCCCATGGAGACTTGGTCTGTGTTCACCTTCAGCTCCCACCCAGTCTCTGGTCTCCTTTCTGTCCTTGGCCTTTTTCCTCTATGTGCTTTGTACACTTATATTTATGTTCATATTTATACATATCAACACTAAAACAAGTTTCTTTTTTAAATTTTTTTTATTGAAGTAGAGTTGATTTACAATATGCTGTGCAGTCTCCGCTGTGCGGCAGAGTGACTCAGTTATACACATATAGACATTCTTTTTTTAATATTCTTTTTGATTATGGCTTATCACAGGATATTGAATATAGGTCCCTGTGCTGTACATTGGGACCTTGTTGTTTAGCCATTCTAAACGTAATAGTTGGCACCTGCCAACCCCAAACTCCCAGTCCATCCCTCTCCCCCCACCACCACCTTTGGCAACCACAAGTCTGTCCTCTATGTCCATGAGTCTGTTTCTGTTCTGTAGATAGGTTCATTTGTGCCATATTTTAGATTCCACATATAAGTGATATCATATGGTATTTGTCTTTCTCTTTCTGACTTACTTCACTTAGTATAATAATCTCTAGTTGCATTCATGTTGCTGCAAATGGCATTATTTCATTCTTTTTTATGACTAATATTCCATTGTATATATAT